ACATTAAATGATGACATTTTGATATTTGAAAATGAGCCAACAATCACATTGGCTTCAGATAAGGAACTCACTGTGTTTGAACATGCTATACGTGTTGATTTTTCGCATCTGGAAAGTATTCGGGTATAGCATGATGAAAAAGGCGCTTAACTTGGCGATCATGACAAATAGATCTGAAGAACTTTATGAAATGCATGAAAGATTTATTAAAGAAATGGAGAGTGAACTCAAAGATCAGGAAAATCAATTTACGAAAGAAGATAGGATTAAAGCGTTTGTTCAAACTATAAATAATCCAATCGGTGTCAAGACAAAGGGTAGAAATAAAAGAATCAAGGCTTTTAATGATGAATCTAATATATTGAGCAATAAAAATAAAATGCTCAAAGTTAGCCAAAAAAATAACGATGATTTGTCCAGCTCCGGTATGGATTTAATAGTATTATGTGACTTTTGTAATTTCTTACAATCACATATTATCATAATTTTTATTTTGTAGAATCCAGTATTGAGATGGAATCTACTAACGGCAAAGAAAATATTAACGTAAACCAGAGACGTTGCAGAATTTGTGGTTTGATTGGTCATAATGCACGAACATGTAAAGAAAGATCTTGAAGAATCTTATGTCTCTGGAATAGAAGAGACTAATGACACAGAAGATATTAGTCTAAATAGGCGAAAATGCAGAGTATGCGGATTGGAAGGCCACAACGCACGAACATGTTTAGTAAATAATTATTAGTTAGAATATTTATGAACATGATTATTTTATTTACATTTGCTTTAACAAATTGGGTTGTTATGCAAGAGCTAATTTTAAATTATATAGAGACTTGTGCATTTATAAGATTTATCTCTATCATGTAATATGCTATTCAAGTACTGGGTATATAATAACGTATATAATGTTTTCTTAAGGGTTATATTAAAAAAACTACGGTTCTGTAAATGTCAGAGATAGTATTGAAATTACTTTACAAAACTTTAGCTAAATGCGATAGGTTTGAATTATCTATTTTATCAACAAGCGTGTGTTTGTTTTAATCTTACAGTAAAATTTATCTAATACTAGTATATACATACTAACGTCAAGAAACTTATGCTACGTATTTCAGAGATTTCACAGGTGATGTTATTATCAGCTTTAAAAAAAAATTAATAGATCTATACGTAGGGCCAATTTATTCGAAACGATGTACCTATCGCTATAAAAAAAATCAAGTGCAAAGCCTTCATATGCTGTGATTATAGCCGTTGCATTGTTGTAGTTTTCAACAGTATTATAACCTAATTTATAACTCATCTGCATAGCGATAGTACGATGCAGGAAATTTAAAAACCTCTCATTTTATGTGAAATGAAGACAAGCTAAATTCAGTAACGATTAAGTGCACTATATATATGCATTATTTCTACGTGAGAAATCTATTTCTTTACCAAGATTGATAATTTAAGAAATTTGTTTTTAGTATGCTATCAATTTATTATTATCTCTATTGCTATACGTATGAGAGGTTGAGATTTTAAATTTTCTATACCGTACATACCGATAAGTAAATAAAGCTGTAAAATTGCATATCAATATAATTACTGCATATAAATATGTATATAGTACTATATTTTATTATAGTATATAGTACAAACCATATAGACACGTGAATTCTAGAATCGGTAATACTAAAAATTTTTAATTGGATCCGAGCCTATTTAGACCGATTTCCGGAACTGGTGTTGGGCACCAGTGGTGTGATTTAGGTGTGATTTAGTAAAGCCGTTTGAAAATCACCTTCCGACATTCCAGATCAGGTTAATTCGGATAAAATCAAATCCGAGTACCAGTTCATGTTTATATGTTACAGCTATTTTCATTAATTTTGGAACATCTGGTAAAAATTTGACCGAATGATCATTTGCCGATCAGACAATTTATTGATTTCGACGAATAGTTTAAAGCCAGGTACGTACGTACGTACGCACGTAAATTGCAATAACGATAAAGTTTTAAACGACCTCTATTTAAACGGTATTACGAATAATTGTGGTGTATGATTGAGTAAAGTGTATACTATAAAAATCGCAGTTGAGTATATAAATTAGCATATTATACTTATAATATATATCTAATATGTATAAAATAGTATAGTTGCAAATAATTTAATTATGTGACCTCACGAAAATTCTACAAAGTTTATTTACAGCTATAATAAAAATGTATCAAGTACATATGGGCCAGTAACAAAAAAAAATTGTACTGTTGTACTATACCAGATACTGTTGTTTTACGGAGTTGTACGTACGGTTCTAATAATCAAGATTTTTACATAAGCCTATATTTAACGTTAACAAAATAATTTACTTTATTTAATTTTCTTTTTTTTCTATATATAATTACACGTTTTCAAGTTCTTTTTTTTTCGTGAATAGTTTTTGAACAGCTAAAATCAAACATTTTAATTTGTTTGTCCTAAATATTCCTGAATATTTTGACGTGGCAGTTATAGTTTTTAAGCAAAACTTAGAAGTTGCGTGCAGGTGAAGTCGAAACCCTAATTTCTCGATTTTTGCTAAAAAAAAATTTAAAATGAAATAGCGAAACTGCGAAATGTGATGAAACTGGAAAAACGTGAAGGAAGTAGAAATTGGCAAAATCAAGGTTGTAAAAACTAGTAAATCTTAAGAAAAATTTAAATTAAACTTTCATCTTACTTAATAAATTTTCCAATCATATGTAAAACACAATTAGAACAATTAGAACAATTAGAATGATAAGCAAAAAAATTACCTTTATTAAAATTGAAAATCACATTTTTAACTTAAGTATTTGCTTGGCATTGTATAGCCAACAATTAGAATGATAAGTAAAAAAAAAACAAGTTTAACTTGATTAAAATTAAAAGTCACATGTTTAACTTTCACAAAGTTTCGCATATCGTTATTGGAATTCCATCAGGTTTCACGTCTCGCCAAGGTATCACCGTTTTGTCAGATCAGAGTTTCGCCTTTCATCTTTTTTGTGTTTAGGTTTCGGCATTTGCCTTTTTGAAAATAGGCATCGCTTACTATCTATAGGGATCGTCTAAAGTCAGGTAGTTTTTAATTTTTAAGTTTATTAATCATAAATTTGTAAAGTAAAAGTACGTGAGGCATATAAATTACTACCCGGCTTTAGGCGATCCCTGTCTATAGTGGCGGCGTAGAATGTTATGCTTCATATATTACATATAAGTTTTTTGAGAAAAGGAAATCTATCTTCAAATGTATTTATCGGTATTAAAACTTTCGTCTAAAGAATTATTTAATCGAAAAAATTTTTCTCTTTATTAGTAATAAAGCTTTCATTAAAAAGATCATTTTCTTCGAAAAAATTTTCTTAATCGAGGGTGTAGATTCTTCGTCCGAACTAATATTATTCGAAGGTATCATCATTTTATTGTTAGGTAATCTAAATTTTTCAACCGATTTTTTTTTTTTAAAAAAAATCACTGTTACGGCCATTGCTTTCGTTATTTAAAGATAATATTAGGCTTCGAGCTTTTAATTTATATCACAGACTCGACCTATTAAAATTATTCAGAATTGGTCCCGATATTGTGAGTTTAAAAGCCCGAAGTCTAGTTTTCTTTAACGTCACATTTTCATAAATTTTATATACGTTTGTATACTATACAAAATATGAGTGCTGCCAAGGGAAAATGTCACTTCGGACTTTCAATTACATTTGAACGGACACAGGGACGGGGAATACTTCTATTAAGAATAGAATGGAATAAAATAATAAAATGGAATTTTTACTGATTATTGGAAGTAAATGGAATTATTAACAAAATGACACTAGTTTGTATAAATGATATACAAATAACCAAATCACAATTTAGATTACGCATATCATACATAAACTTTACATAACTATTAGTAATAAACTTTACATAACTATCAGTAACAAACTATATATTAATTATATAAAGTATTATTATGAAATTTGTAACAATACTTAAATAAACTGCAATTTACATTCAATAAATTTGTAAAATGACACCTTCTCCCGTTACAGTTTTTTCTCATGCAAGAGAATTTTCTGATGATATTTTTGTTGATAATGAAAACTTATATTTAAATTTTGTGGTCGCAATGTTAATTTTTATATGAAAAATTCAATTACTGCTTACATAAATTCTAAAAAACATATACAAATTAAGGATAGATATCCAGAACTATATTATGTATTATTTCAATCTACAATTGACCAATTGCAAATAAAAAAACTATTGCATTTGATTTGGTAAATGCATCTGCCACTGCAGATATTCCATTAGAGAAGATTGATAAACTTCAAGAATAGTTATGCAAAAATTGCCATGAGGGAGGAATTATACCAAAAGCACATACTTTATGACATAAATATTTGTCACCAACATTTGAAAAACATCTTAATCAACTTAAAGAATATTTTAATAATTAAAGAGTTTCAATTATTGTGAATGAAACAACTGATATTAGAGCTCAAAGTGTAGTTAACATACTTTTTAGTTATATCATTCAAATTGCCTAGTGAATACTGAGATATCATTAAAAAATAATTGGCTGACTATATAAAATTTTATATAAACAAACATAGAATTTTATATAGTTAGCTAATTATTTTTTAGTAATATCTCAGTATCTACTAGGCCAATTTAAACAATCTAACCATCATTAAATGCATCTTAGTGAGCTCTACAACTTCCAATTAATTGACTTTAGTTGTTAATTTAATAAAAAAATATTTTTCATTGGACTCTGCCCAGATTCTAACCTATAATAAAAATTTATATTAAACTTATTCCTAAAATTTACTATTGTCCCAATATAATAATTATGCTGATCTTATCTAGATCATCAATTAAGTAAATTTATATTAAATTTATTCAAATTCAATCTAAATTTAAATAAACCTCAAATCAAATTATTTGAACCTAATTTAAATTTAAGTAAACTCAAAATTAGATTTATTTGAACTCAATTTAGATTTAATAAATCTAATATTGGGTTTAAACAAATCCAATCTGGATTTATTTGAATTCAAATCAGGTTTAAGCAAATCTAATTCAGATTCAAATAAACCCAATTCAGATTCAAGTAAACCCAAGGCAAGTTTACTTGAACCCAATCTAAATTCCAGTAAACTCAATTTGAATTTAGTTGCACCCAATTTAAGTTCAAGTACACCCAATTTGGGTTTAGTTGAACCTAATACAGGTTTATTTGAACCAACCTGGGTTCAAGCAAACCCAAATCAGGTATATTTGAACCCAATCTGGGTTCAAGTAAACCCAAGTCACGTATATTAGAACCCAGCCTGGGTTCAAGTAAACCCAAATCTGATTCATTTGAATCAAAATAAAAAATTTGAAAATCGGAACAAAACCCGGGCTTGAGAGCTAAAAAAATTACAAATTAAAAACTAAAATTAAAAAAAAAAAACCATAAAAATATAAAAAAAATTATAACCTCGCCCAGGAGCAACGCCCGGGCCTAAGAGCTAGTGTATTTTGTATGACGTGAAGGTGACGTGAGAAGGTAGTTGCCTTTGACTTTCTAAATGTCAGCAGCTATATTCCTTACAAAATATTCCAGTTCGCCATTTTTAGCTACTATACAGAAACCTAATGCACGACGCAAAAATTCGGAATTCTTCATTTTCGAAAATTCCCTTTACATACGACTTAGCTATGTCAAAGCGCTTTCCTGC